TAGTTTATTAAACTTGAAAACCAATATCACAATTGAATCCCGAGACGTAGAATTCTTTGAGAACTTGTTGTCTTGGGATAATAATATTTTTAGAAGAACCTCAAGTGAAGATTTTTAGTTCTGCAAAATCACAAGTAGAAACGCATTCCGAAGATGTTGAAATAAGAACTTTGTAAAAGTAAAAGGGCTCAAAAGGAGAAAGTTTTAGAACCAGATGAATTTGATTCTCGACTTATTTTCTTCTATTTAGTTGTGGGAAATGAGAAGAGGAGCACTATAACTATTCCTTATGTTTTTCAAGTGGAAATTGATCCTAAAAGTCATCAAGAAGTAATGTCATCTAGAGATGGTATCTTTTGAAAATATGCTATAAATAATGAAATTGATTCAATAATGTCATATAATACTTGAGAACTAGTCAATTTATCTCCCGATCAAAACATATAGGTTGTAAATGGGTATTTAGGAGGATATACAATGCAAGCGGTACTTTTAATACCTTTAAAGTTAGGTTAGGAACAAACAGGTATCGATAAAAGGAATGAATATAATACTTTGACATGTATGCAATGCACCACTACCACAAATTATATCAATTAGGATTTTATTCATTGTTTGACCCATAGAATGAGAGTCGTGGATTTGTTTTCCTTTCAGATTTACTACATTATATTTTGTGTTCATGCTTTTAGTCCATCAATTAAATTTCGCACTCAATTAAAATTCCACGAACACAGTATCAACTTGCACGTATCAATCAAAATCATTAGAAACTAATTGAAAAAAGTTCTAACTATCGATTGTCCTGAGTTATATCAATTAAATTAAAATTCATTCTCAATTTATCTAGATTTTAGAATTTACATTTCATAACATTCTTAATACCTTTTCTTTCATAAGAGCAAAGAAAGAAAACCAAAGTACACCTTTCACAAGGGGTAGACTATTAAGAAATTAAGAAATTGATAAGAAATTAAGAAATTGAAAGGAAATTCTAGTTAGTGGGTTGAAATTATTTTTGTGTCAAAAATTGGTACAGGCACAATGTAACGGTGAATAAACCTAATTTTAGGTTTTCTGCTATGCCACGCTTAAAAGTTCAAACTTATGAAGTTATGCATGAACTATGAGGCTTATTGGAAATCTATTCCATTTATAGTTCTCTTTCATTGTGGTTTGAGTGTTGGCGTCGCCATGATACATGTGATTGAGTTTTTCTTTATTTATTAATTTTTTGGAGTAATATTAGTGGATGAACAAACTTATTTATAACTTGAGATAGTGAAGGTTTGGTGTCGAAACAGGGTAGCATAATAATTGACTAAGTCAATTTTGCCCTTGCTAATAAGAAAGTATCCTAATTTATCAGAATTTATTAGAGAACGGTGGTGCCATGACAATAATGTTTTCTAGGGGTGTACGTTGTTGTTGTTGTTGTTGTCTTTTTTTCTTTTTTTTTTTCCACATGTTGTGCACGCTTTCAATTCGAAATTATTTCTCTTTTTGCACACCTTCAACTATTAAAGTTGTGATGTGCACGCTTTTGATTTTGCATGGTGTGGAAGTACTTTTTCTAATTCTAGATAGAGAAGGCGTTCTATGAGAAAATTTACCATGGCAAATTTAACAGACTTCCAACTTCTTCAATTCCTCATTTGATACACGAACAAATCATTTCTATAGACCTCGACCTCCCTTCGCTTCTTGGTTGACATTGACTCATGTGACATGTTACAAGTGACTAAACCAAAAACCAAAATAATAATAATAATAATAATAATAATAATAATAATAGGAATCTAAAAAAATAAATGATGCTTTGTTAATAATAATTAGAAGTCGACTATGCAGGTGTTTTTATATCATTAATATTATATTGTATTATTTCATCTTAAAACTTTGGTTTATTGTGTTATAAAATGATTAAATCGCTACCCCAACTTTTATTTGTTACACCACATTTTAATTGTAGTTAAGCTCCTCAATCTTTGCTCATGCAACAATTATTAGTATATCTTGTCTTTGACGGTGATTTATATCAAAATATTTTATTCCTATGCTTTGAAATAAGAAAAAATATTTTTCGCACTTTTTATTTATTTACTTTTTTAAAAATATGATAAGAAAATAAGTTGTTTTATATCATTTCAATATACTTTTGGACATAAAACTGTTATTAAATGTAAAATGTGTTAATTAATGGAAAGTTTGAAGATAAAAATGACAGGAAAAATCGTTAGGGATATAAATGCTATAATGAACAAAAATTAAGAACTTTAAATACAATTAAAATGTGATGCAAGAAACAAAATTATGACGTGAGTATAATAACCCTTGTGCTATGCCCTTCTCTTTATATTTCAACTCACTTTAATATGTTCATCGGGGTTATATCATTGACGATCTCATCTTGTGATCATAAATTCAATTATGTCACCTGATTCAAAAATAAATTTGAAGTCAACTAATCCAACTAATCCTCTTAAAAGATTCTTCTTTCATAATTTTTAATGAAACTTCAGCTTGTAGAGTTATGGATAATAGCATGTGTGCATCACGTTTGGAATATATATATATATATATATATATATATATATATATATACAAGTCAAGATGAAGTTGAAAAATTAAATGAAACTAACAATTTTTTTAAAAAAAAATTAGCGTGACAAAACCACGTTTTATGTTCGAAAATATTTTTTTAATTTTGCTTAATATTAAACATTGACTGAACAATCAGTTAGTGCTCAATAATTGAAAGTTGGATAATAATTTGAACCTCTGCGCGTTAACTTAGAATTTTCAAAAATATTTTGAAGATTAATTGGAATTGCATTTAGATTGATCAGTTCCACAAACAGCCATGCTTGACTATACAGTAACGTATGAGAATTGATAAAAATAAATGAATGTTAATCTATTCTAAATAATAATTCCAACCATAAAAATATAATAAGTTTCAATAGGCAAACTTTAAAATCCCAAAATTCAATCAAATCACTGTTGGATATTGGTTAAATAAATTGAGAATTGAAAATCAATTAAAGTTCGTATCGAATTCGGCCAAATACTCAAAAGCTCGACTCAATCCGTTTAGGCAAAATTGTTTGCCACTTCGCCGCTTCGGGGCGCACAAAAGAGAATTTTGATTTCTCTGCATGTATTGAAGGGTATATTTGGCATTTCGAAAACCAATATCGGATGAATGAGAAATTACTAAAAAGGCCTCAACCATTAGTGAATAGACATCTTTTCATAAAGATGCATTGTTTGGAAAGGGTGCATGGTTTGGCCTCAACCATTTCGTCCACACCCCTTCATGGTCTATAAATAGGACCCTTTGGGTGTCCTATTCCTCACAGTTTGATATGTAAAAACGTCTCTCATCCTCTCTTCTATCCAAAATCAAAATCATTTCATTTATTTTGATTTTCTTTCATTTCATCTGTGGAGTACATAAGCCTACATTTGATTCGTTGTACTTGTGTTTTGGAGTGCTACAAACACAAGTGTAGCCGTTGTATCTTGGGAGTAAATTGCCGAAATCCATAGGCACCGTTGCGGGGCAAATTCGACTTAAGGACAAAGAGTCCAACTCTTGCCTCGGCTTTGTCACCATCATTATACTTATTTCGGCGTCACTATTCACAAAATTCTTCCAACAATCACAAAAGAAGAAAATCAATTCCATGAGAACAAAATCCAAAATCCGAAACCACCGAGTCTAAACAAGTCGTTGCTTACTTTAGAAGTGAGTTCAAAATCGAAACTTGACATTTGCATATATATTTACTTTATAAATTTCATAGTTATAGGAACCAACCCGAACCCTGAATCAGACAATGCAGCGGGGTCAATGATTTACATAAAGCAGATTACTCCACAATTGTTATAATACCAACACTGTACAGCCTACAATAAATCATTGTTACACAAATTTAAGGCTCTAAGTCTCTAACTATGGATATAAATTATTTGGTAATTTAAAAAAAAAAAAAAAAATCCTTGACACTTGAGACCGGTATTCCATTACAGCTTGTAATGGAAGATAGCATGTGCATCACGTTTGAAGAACTTCAAAATAAATACTCTATACTGAAAATTTGAAACCTCAGATGATTAAAAGATTTTAAAACATTTTAGAATTGATAAATTATTTTGCAGTATTAAATTCAAGTGTAAAAGTCAAGATGAAGTTAAAAACTTAATTTAAACTAAGAACTATTATTTTTATTTTTATTTTATTTAGCTGATAAAACCACGTTTATGTTGGGAAATATTTTTAAAAGAAATTTAGCTTAATATTAAACATTGACCGAATAATCAGTCAATGTTCAATAATTGAAAATTGGGTAATAATTTTCAATCCTGCTACACTGCCCAAATTTTTTTGACATAGAAGGTGACCGCCTCACAATGGAGGGACCCTACTTTTTCTTTTTTTTTATTCTTTTAATTCACGTGGGACTCACGACATGTAAGAGAATGTCAACCATTCGGGCAAAAAAATTCGGACAAAGTAGCAAAATTCATAATTTTTACTTGTGGGTTGGCCGCCTATACGTAAATTAAGAATTTTTCAAAATATTATTAAATCAAATAGTTCGAGAGCAGCAGCCGGTCTAAATTCTTCGTGAAAACTCCCTCTCAGGCTGAATTTAAAGGTTCTTATTGGAAGATAAAATACATATTTTGAAGATTCATTGGAATTCGATTCAGATTGACCAGTTCCACAAACAGCCTTCTTGATTATACAGAAGGTTATTTTCATTTGTACAGAAATATTCTTCACAGTGTAGGCCCCATGTTTTGAAAAAAAATTACCAAAAAGATCTTCCACCCCTCAACTGTATTAATTCTGCGAGCCATCCACTGTTAGTGTAGAAGTGCTCTTATGCAGAGACCGAAGTCTTAGAATCGATAAAAGTAAATATTTCTCGATATTGTCCAATCGACTTAATTTGGTTCTTCAACCCAAATCGTACCCAAATAAAGCAAAATTTCAGAATTCAAAAAATGGATGATTGAAATTGTCAGATATCATCACCACATATTTTTATACAACATAAATACTGTGTGCAACTAAGTTATAATGAATGCATGTAATATGCTTGAACAAGTTGCCAATGCTGAGGTTTAATAAAAGAGGCTACAGATCAATGATCTCAATTCCGTAAGTCGTGCGCCGTTTCATTCCCGGGAGCAAATCATCATGATGGCAAAATGAGCAACAGGAGAGAGAGACGCAGCTTGAATATAGTTACCAAATGATCAGCAAAATAGACCTTGCGCGCATGATTATCAGACTTGAGATGGATTGGGATTGAGCAGTTGGCGCTGGTAAAAGTGTGGAGCAGCCTCTGTCAGCCAGGTTGGGTCAATAGAGATGACATTGCGCATGTATTGACGATCAGTAGAGACAATCGAATGGAAGACAACCCACTTTGGATTAACTCTGCGAGATAAATTTCAAGGGAATGTATTCCAATTGTTAGTTTGCAGTCTATGTATCAACATCAATCTATTCTCTCAGATTTTAATTTAGAATAGCGCAACTTGTCTCCATTAGAGATCATCACTGGTCTCTACGGCCGGTGACATGCTATTAGATTATAAGACTGATTAGTTATATGAAATAAGACCGCTTTTTTGGTCTCATTTAATGACACATCATACAATATCACATCATATCTAATGAAAATAAACAGCAATACTCATTTAATGAAGAAAAGATATATGTAATTCAACAAGCCAAGTATTATTTCCTAATACAATTGAGACCAGTTGCATGAATACTTTGCAAAACTATCTATTCTAAAAGAGTAATGCTATGTAACTAACTAGTGCTGAGCACAAGTCTAAGTGTCAATTAAGTGATTGGTCATCTTAAATGGGACCCATATTCCTTAATTTAAGATGTATCAGCACGTGATGCCACTTGACTGACACCTAGACTAGTACTTAGTACCAATTGGCCACATAGCATTATATAAAAGGTCAGATAGATTAAATCTTTTGCAACCACCTTACACTATTTTAACTTGGGCAACCCTTTTTCTAGTAAGATTGCATTACTCTTCCAACCAGAAGCTTCTTTAAATTTACACACAACATAAATATATCATCCTAAACATTATCGACATATCACTCCAATTAGAATCACAAATTTACCTTTTCAATATAGCCTATCACTTCGTTTTGAATGGAAAAAAGTGGTCCAATTATTTTGGTCACAAACCAAAAAAATAGGAACAATGAATTGAAGACATGTACATTAAGAGGATTGAACTCTCAAGTCTGAAGCACTAAGCAGAACCCGTAGAAGAATTCCATTTGGATCTTCCAGCAAATAGCAAATGTCAAAATTGAGCACATTGGGTAACTTGTTATCCATTTGCTCATTAACTAAAAACAAATAACCCCCCTTTACATAGTTCCTCTAAGTTGTTCGTGAACAAGAACAATGATATAATGAGTTATCTGTACTAACCTGAATAACACAGATGAAGGATGGATATAAACTTCTTGTGAGCTTCTGATAGTCTTGTACAAGCCATTGTGACTAAATGGCTTTAACAAAATAAGCAACCACAAGTTGATCAAGTTAGATACACGGGCAATTATTATTAGTCAAAGATATCAGTTCTTTTTCTCAAAACAACAATTAGGGTCATTATGTCTGCATATGATTAAATACTTACTTCTAATCGACAAGCATTAGCAAAAAACCCAGCAGTAATTGCCTTTCTTACAGCCTGAAATATGATTAAAAATGGTGCTTGTTGAATTCAGCAGGATATATCCCAGAGGAAAGAAGAAAAATGGAAATCAAAGAGTAACTTTCAATAGGAACAAAGTCATGCTGGAATTACAAAAATTCCCAGGTAACTCTTAGGAATCAACCTCAACGCTAAACACCTATGATGCTTGGACTCGGGTACGGGTATCGAGTACGGGTACGTATCTAAGTGTCGGATCTTTTATTTTCTAAAATGTAGGATACGGGGACATGGTTAAAAAGAATCCAAATTTCAGACACGGGTACGTGGGTACGTCTTTCAAGTTTCAATTTTTTTTATTAACCCAAGATGTCATTTTGAATAGACCAAAATCAATAGTTCACAAAAAACGAAATGAGTATTATATAAGATGTTAAGACTAATAAAATAAAATTTTGGGGTTTAGTTTTCAATTATAGGAAACGGGAAAGAAAAGGAAAAGAAAAAAGAAGTAAAAAAGGGCGAAGTGTCCGGTTTAAATTTGGAGGATCCGACACATATCCCATACTCATACCCATGTCGTGTCGTGTCCTACACGGGTACTCCAACCATTTCGAAGAGTCCGAGCATCAAAGCTAAGCACAAAAGTCACACAAATAATGCACTAGCTAAGGAGGGATAGGATGTCAATGCAGAACATTCTCTAGTAAAATTCATCCTGCTTGCATATTCTATCAAAGATATCTAAAGATTCCCCATTCAAATGCATGTAAGCACATTAAATATAACATTTTTTATGCAAATAATAGAAAATACTTTGTTGTGCTTATAATGTCAGTCATAACAGTCCTTTTTTCCAAAATAAGAATGCCAGTCCAAGAGTCAAGTGTTTATATTTATCCTGTTTAGCCACATTAAAGAGCGTGGTGGGCGTGTCGCTTTGATGACACCCATCTGGACAGTGTTTGTATCATAACAGTGTGGTACCAAACATCTAAAGACCTTCGTAACATTTTATGAGAAACCAATCCATCAATATCTCCTACACAAGAAAGATCTCCATTTCCCACAAAACAGTTGTGTTGTATTGAATTCTAAAACTGCTGCAATGCATGCATGTGTTTGATCTTCTTCAAGGAGGAGACACTAGACACTACAAGATTGTTTCTGGTAGAAAATCGTAAGTACTAGTATTTAATTAAAATAACTTAAATGTTGAAAAGGATTAATGTTATTTCAGCATTCCTTAACCCCATACATACACATGCCTGTACACGACATCTATATGTTTAAAATTTAACGATTGAGAAAGACAATGGAATTCTTTATTGTTTAAAAAGGCTAAATGCCGTTATCTCTTTAAAGTATACACAAAAAATGTGATGGAAGTACACAACTTGTTTATGAGACTCAAAAGGGGCTAAAAAAAAAGTTTGAACTTCGGAGTACTTTGAAATCTAAAGATTTTAGCTTGAGTAGAACCAAGATATAATACATGCAAATGCTATTTCAGTTTAATAAAGGTCGTGTTCTCGCCACAGAAGCTAATTTTTATAATCACATTGATCAATTGAAGTGTACATCATCTTACCTGCATATCACCTTCACAAGATTTCAAGACTATCCCCAGACGTTGCGCAATTCTTCTCAGCTGAAGTCTGATTTCAGCAACTTTTCTCTGCATAGAAAATAAATGAACATTCAAAAAAATCATTGAACAAAAATTAACATGGTATACATGATTTCATGTTTTAAACCCATGAACATTAAAGTTGCATAAGGCAGACGCCTCAAAAATCTCTATAGCTGCTGAAGGGAGATGCTCACCATGGCGTGGTAGTTCACAAAGTTCTTGTGACACCAGTTTGAAGATTTACCAGACTCAAGAAACCCTTTATACACATTTAGGAAGGTAACATGGTCGCCCTGCAGGTATTTTGAAGACACAATATTGCGAACATGAGAACTTCCCAAGAAAGCCTAAAGATGAGTATCTATGGATTTATCGTGCATATCAATTGGCTACTAAATAAAGTGTAAATAAAAAATCAATTATGTAAATAAAAATAAAATTCCATATACCATCTCATATGTAAAAGGTTAGAAGACAATCCGGATAAATTAGATCTAGAGCAACACTGAAGAGAATACAGAAAAAGAACTCAAGAAATGACGGTCTGTCCCAATTTTTTATTATTGTTTTTTTCATCCTCTTCACAATTCTCTTAAATCTTATGGTTGAGGTCAGAAAGCGACCCAGTATTGACGGAAATCAGAGAGGTAAAATTCAGAAAGTGAAAAACAAGGCTATTCATTTATTTATCATAAGGTGATGGTCTGTGATAAAAGACTCATAAGCCAAACAACATATTTTGACATCAGTTTCAAAAAAGCTTCTTCAAACACTAATTTGTTTGTGCTCATAGCCCCTGAAAATCTCCTGAACATGATTGATGTTCAGCCTGAATCACTTTTAGCTTCAGGGCAAACTCCCTAGTTTGATGAAGGCCCCGTGTCATGCAAATTAATCCTAGGTCTATAAGTCGTATGCTTATCATACAGATTGCATGGTTATACGAACTAACTGCCAGTGATAGCCATATGCAGAGCTCATGCCGCTGGTGGTAGAGGAGAGACTCAAAACACATCTGTATGGTAAAGGAGATAGTTCGCTCAGCAGGCTCATTGTGTTTTGGGTTAGCCATATCTAATTAAGGAGCTGATGCAGTATTCCGCTCTCCAACTCTAAATCAAACAGAACAATTTAGACTCACAATTTTGACTGGACTAGTTGAAGAACTCTTTCAAAACCTGTCTAGTAATTAATCTGTATTAAAACCCCACCAGAAATTCTAGTATTCCCAAATTGAAATCAGATAATCAAGCTACTATAGTACTACTAACCAAGGTGTTAGATCTAAATTCTGGTGGTCAGCCTAGTTCAAACAAGATCTTATTAAGAATAAAAATAAGTAGGCACCAAAAACAGCAACAAAGAAAGGATTAGGAACCTCAGCAGCAGCAAATCTCAACTTGGCTTCATCCATCTCCTTTTGTGCTCCCCTACCAGGAAACCAGACAGACTGCATGAGAATAGAAAGAGAAAAATGATTAAGAAGAAAAAGAAAATGGAATGTTACGAAGACTCCATACATCTAAAACTAGCATTGTTCTCTTGTCATGAATTATTATAAGAATAAAGAATAAAGCAAAATTTTAAAATTTAGACAATTTACCTGTATAGACAGTACAGCAGCAATGGTAATGACTTCCTCAGAACAACCAAATTCAATTGAGGCTAATATCATCTTCGAAATCATAGGATCCTACAAGAACACAGTTTTCTATAATACAACTGAAACTAATATCATCTTTGATATCTTGTGCATCAGGATCCCAATTCTAGACAGAATTTTAAAAATTTCAATGCAAAAAATACAAATTTGTAGGTTTCTCTAGAAGATGCAAAAGCAAAATAATCAACCTATTGATGTTGGATGGCACAAAGGACTTTTCTAATGTATCATATCATTTTTTTGGGTCAGACAGTATTCATAAGCACTTCCTGCATCCCATAAAGTTAAGCTTGCTTTCCTTTTTCGTTTGTCCCAAATTAAAGGCCACTTTCTTGGTTGAAGAACGTATAGTTAATTTTTTTATAATTCTAATGTGACCCAATTTAATGTGTCTTGTTATCAATAAATATGAACTGCTCCTATTTAAATCATTATTTAATGTAGGGGAGTATTAAGAAAAATTTATATTACCAACTATATTAATAACATTTTATTAATATATAAGAAAATAGAAACAAGCATATCTTTATGAGATGAAGGGAGTATAATTTTTCAGAGAAGCTATTCCATGCCTTGTGATGGTACACCAATTGCACAACACGTGTTTGAAAAAATGACTCGCTTAGTTTAACATTATTATCATCAAATGAATGCTTATGACAAAATGTTTATCTTCATTTCCGCAGATTAGTTATGTATCAGTGCATGCATCATTGTTCATGTTCTTCATGGTGATAGCTTCACCTTTACATGTTGCTTGTGAAATATGATGTGTTCTTCTAATTTGTACATTCCAAGTTCACATAACCATGTTATTTTGAAATTTCATATTTGGTGCGAAATTTTTTGTTGCACTGTTCATAACTTCATATAAATAGCATATCTATCTATCCTTTATCAACTATATATGTTTTCCCTAATTCTATGTTTTAGGCAGTTTTCATCCTGTTTTCCCTCTTGCTGGTTTGTGTGATTTTTTTTGCCCATTGGGTAGAGACTGTTGGATATGTAGAAAATTTTAATAGATAGGGGGGGGAAGACAGAAGAGACGTACTAATGGAATCTCTGCAACCTGGAACCCAGCAGGTGATGTAAGTTTGGCATCATCATCAAGAACTCCAAGAGAATATAGTACTTCAAGTGCTCTGATCAATGCTTCTGGCGAGGGTGATGCTGGCCAGTCGAAACCCAAAATATTGTCTATACCCAGGGCTTTTAACTATGAGATGAAAACAAGATACTCAACATCAAATCTGAAAGAACTAAATGTCCAAAGGTGACGTTGACAATAAACACCACAAGGGAAAAACTATATGTCCAAAGGTGAAGATGACTATAAACACCACAAGGGACAAATTGGATACAGTTCATGAAATTGAAGCAAATGATGAAAACAATACCAGGAAAAACAACATTGAGCATCAACAACTCAATAAATAAAGAAAACAAAGCATATAAAGCAAGCAGAAAACATGCACAACTAGTTAAGATGAAAAATCCATAAGATGACTAATGTGTAGTTCTATGACAAGAAACAAAAAATAACACAGAAAAAAATAAAATACTTTCTACTATTGGTCACAAAAGAAAAAATTTATGAAGTCTTAAGCGTGAAAAAACATTCTAATCCATTTCTCCCTCACCATCAATTTTGCAACTCAAGAAAAAGAAAAGGGAAATTAAGAAGTCAGCAACTAACTATTTGTTTTTTTACTTTCTTCCACGAGTAAGACTGAAATTTAACATATTCACAGGTAAGCATTAAAAGCTGATCAACCAAAGAGAATCAAAGTACAGAAAAAATACCAATCTCAAAAATGGCAAACTATCACTTTAATGACACTCATAGTACTACAATCAAACTCATTTCTAATCACACATACTACCTGAATCACACAGGAAACGAGATTTGACCTCTGTATCTCTGGAATACCCTCAGCAGGCATCTCCTTGATAAAATATTCTTCTGTATAAAGCCTGGTAATGGTCAAGAAAAAAAATGTCTAAACTGTTATGCATCATCTCCATTTTTTAAGTAATATGTGTGGTTCTGAAGAAATTCACTGTGCTAAAAATGCAACATGTTATTTTGATAAGGAGAATATAATTTAAAGCTGATAAAAATTGATAAACAAGAGGCACGTGATTAGCAGCTAATAGTTCTCTACTGGTTGGTCCAAAGAGTATTTGGGGGGAAAAAAAAAAAAAAGCGTCATCTTGTGTCTTTAAATCAGCCGAATGAGTTTTCAGTGGTTTAATATGTTCATATACTTCTGAATACCTGTTGCAAATACTAAGTAGCAGTCAAATAGTTATTAAAACAGAACTAGACTGACCAGTCCGACTGGATAACCGTGAAACAAACACTGGTTTGGTCTGGGTGGCGAAACTTAAGATGGTTCCTTGGAGTGTGTACAAACTATTTAAATTTAATACATTCAGATACTTCTTGAGACCTAATAGCAGTCAAAAACATAGTTATTAATACCGGACCGGCCGGTCTAACAGGACAACTGCCCACGCAACTTTGTTACAACAATGTTTTGTGTACTGTGTGTTCAAAACTTATATATATTACAATAACAGTTTTTTATAATTAATAGTGATAATTAACAATAAGCTATTTAGAACACTTCTTCTCTTAAAAAAGGTAAAAAATTGATAAAATAAAATTTGAAAACTCCAAAGAGTTCACCAAATGGTATTTTTAACACTCTTATATTTAAAAAATGAAAATATGACATAACGTGGTTAAAAAAAGTATTTCCAATTTATAGCACATCCTAATTTATTTTTTTTTAAAAAAAAGAAATGCATTTTTCCTTCTACTCAGATAAATATTTTTTATTATAAATTTTATGACCCGCCGGTTGAACCATTGACCCACCGGATCGACGAGTAGCCCAATGGCCCGATACCCCAGCCAGAACATTGACCAGTCCAAGTCTGATAACTATGGTCAAAAATTTTTAATGAGAAAATTCTTATGTGCATTTAGAATAATTAGTAACAGTTCATACTATAGCTTAACTGGAAGGGAATTGTCTAAGGAGACACACGAAGTGCAAGCAGAAGCATACGGGAGGGAGGGAAGAGAGAATGGATTAATATTGTAGATAAGTGAAACGATTTCCTTCTAGAAGGACAAAAAGGCCAATTATTTCCCATACTAATTCATCTTTTTCAAGTTTATTGGTTTGTGGTAGTTGGTAGGTTCTCAGTTTAAATTTTAAACGATAGACCCTGTTAGTGTAAGCTTTAGAACAACCAATTAAGCACATACATGAGCAAACCAGTTCATTTCTAAGAATAATGGCGATAGAAGATTTATTCAGTAGAGCATGCGCTATCCTGTAAGCTCTATACCTGTAACATTTTCCAGGGCGAATTCTTCCAGCTCTACCAGTCCTCTGTCGAGCAGAAGCCTTGGATACTGGTGCCACTATTAGATTTTCAATATCTGTTATCTGTTTAAAATGTAGATACAGAATTAAATAACAAGGAAATGGGAAGATAACCAATTGATCTTCCACAGAAAGAGCCATAACTAAAAAGAGGAAATAAACAGTAAGTATATTGAGATCTAAACACTTTCGATTCATACTCATCAAAATCTGTCGTAAGCAACAGTTTGGAAAGCTGAAAAGAAACTGACAATTTTATTTGTTTCATGTGACAACAAAATAATAAGTTAGCCGTAAATGTTGATTAAAGGTGATGTTCCATCTTATAAATTTGGTAAATAAACATACAAAATCACGTTAACAGAAATTTTAAAAAAATTATTTACAATTGCCCTTTTACCCAGAAATAAATAAATAAATAAAAAGAAGTTAGCAGTCAAACATAAGAATTGATCCTGAGAAAAAGGAAAAATTATGAAACTAAATACATAGCAAGAATGGGAACAGAAAAAAAATACCGGATTGTAAAAACGCTGTTTTGAGAACCCACTATCAATAACATACACAACACCCTGGAATGGAGAGATTGGGAAGAGTCAGGGATAATTGAGTTGTCAATTTGACGTATAAATGTAATTCTTGTAAATATCATCCTTAAAGACCTAAGTTTATACCTCCAAAGTCAATGATGTTTCGGCAATATTTGTTGACATCGCCACCTTTCTCTTCCCTCGAGGAGTTGGAGAAAATATAAGATCCTACAAAGAAAGAGAAAAAGAAGAAATTAGCGAGATCGGAATATAATTCTTCATCAACAAGACTATGTGACAAGATGCTAACCTGATCTGCACGTGGAAGTCCAGAATATAGAGGCAAGACAATCAATCCTGCAAGTGAATAAAGTAGTAATTAGTATAACATGAATTAACAAAGATTGGGCATTGAGATTTCAGAAGTTAATCAGGTGCGGCAAGCACAATTGCCAATGTCTGACAAACATAACAAGGCAAGGTTGTGATGAAAACTAATCGCCATACTTCTAATGGAAGACATCTTCCATACTACAAAATTCACTGACACCATTAATGCCATTTCAACAAAACAGATTCTCAAACCAAGAAGTCTACTGCACGCAGCAGTAGGTCTCTAATATATTAAAACCCAATTCCTTCACTTATGCCACTTCATCAAGGGCCCTGAGATTTTCAATTTGACAGCACAAAACAATCTCTCATTCAGTAATTATTAGAAGAACCAAGCGCACTGCACTATAACTCCCTCTGTCCCATGTAGTCCTTTTTTCGTTTTTCGTCTATCCTAAATTATAGTCCTATTTCTTATTTGAGAGTATAGTTAATATATTAATTTAGTAATATGTCCCTATTTTATGTGCTTTGTTATCACAAATATAATTTAATTACCTTGAATATCAATTGCATTAATGTAGGGGTACAGTAGGAAAAATTATAGTAAAATTTATTATTTCAACTATATTAACTAAATTTTCTTAATCTGTATGGAAAAAAATAAAAATTTATCTTTATGGGAGAAAAGAGTATTTCATAAGAAGATTGGAACAAGAAAATCCCTCTTATTCTTCAACAAACGAGACATAACTGAGGAGTTTACTGTCAATGCAAATGATTACTGGGTCATATTATAAAGGATCCAAACAAAAAACCATTTGACATGCAAACAAAATAGGGAAAATTTGATTCATTGCTTGATTGCCATAAACCAATGACCATCCTTTCGACGGTGGAAACTAAGAAAAACAAAAGAAAGCATACTGAATAATAAACCTTCTAAATTTCCTTATTTTAAAAAGGCTCGAATGTGTTTCAATGCTTGGGAGAGTATTTGATTTGGAAGGTCAACTCAACAATTAATGGAAGCAGAGGTCGAATGAGGGTCAGTAAACCCTGCCTTTTACTCTCACCCACTTGAGTTGGCAAAGCTTTTTCTTCCGCATGAGTTTGAATGGGAGGGCCTAAAATCCTTAATTCATAGAATTTCTTGGAACTTAAATCTCAAAAAAAAGAAATATGTGCTACTAAGAAAGTCATCACAGGAGATTTCAGAAGTTAATCAGGTGCGGCAAGCACAATTGCCAATGTCTGACAAACATAACAAGGCAAGGTTGTGATGAAAACTAATCGCCATACTTCTAATGGAAGACATCTTCCATACTACAAAATTCACTGACACCATTAATGCCATTTCAACAAAACAGATTCTCAAACCAAGAAGTCTACTGCACGCAACAGTAAGTCTACTGCACGCAACAGTAAGTCTCTAATATATTAAAACCCAATTCCTTCACTTATGCCACTTCATCAAGGGCCCTGAGATTTTCAATTTGACAGCACAAAACAATCTCTCATTCAGTAATTATTAGAAGAACCAAGCGCACTGCACTATAACTCCCTCTGTCCCATGTAGTCCTTTTTTCCTTTTTCGTCTATCCTAAATTATAGTCCTGTTTCTTATTTGAGAGTATAGTTAATATATTAATTTAGTAATATGTCCCTATTTAATGTGCTTTGTTATCACAAATATAATTTAATTACCTTGAATATCAATTGCATTAATGTAGGGGTACAGTAGGAAAAATTATAGTAAAATTTATTATTTCAACTATATTAACTAAATTTTCTTAATCTGTATGGAAAAAAATAAAAATTTATCTTTATGGGAGAAAAGAGTATTTCATAAGAAGATTGGAACAAGAAAATCCCTCTTATTCTTCAACAAACGAGACATAACTGAGGAGTTTACTGTCAATGCAAATGATTACTGGGTCATATTATAAAGGATCCAAACAAAAAACCATTTGACATGCAAACAAAATAGGGAAAATTTGATTCATTGCTTGATTGCCATAAACCAATGACCATCCTTTCGACGGTGGAAACTAAGAAAAACAAAAGAAAGCATACTGAATAATAAACCTTCTAAATTTCCTTATTTTAAAAAGGCTCGAATGTGTTTCAATGCTTGGGAGAGTATTTGATTTGGAAGGTGAACTCAACAATTAATGGAAACAGAGGTCGAATGAGGGTCAGTAAACCCTGCCTTTTACTCTCACCCACTTGAGTTGGCAAAGCTTTTTCTTCCGCATGAGTTTGAATGGGAGGGCCTAAAATCCTTAATTCATAGAATTTCTTGGAACTTAAATCTCAAAAAAAAGAAATATGTGCTACTAAGAAAGTCATCACAGACTTACAGCATGCTTGGGAGTGCTTACTTTAAAATTTAAGTGGTTATGAATTGTGGTCATAAAGAATGTGTGAATAGTAAGTGGTGGTAGTGATGGATCCTACAAAATATGTGAATAAAAGTATGTTTGACCAACTTAAATTATAATTTAAACTTCGCAAAACAAACACCTAACCATACAATAAAAACCTTCCAATATTCATGAAGTGTAAGAGCTTCCATAACTACCTTGATTTCTGCTACTCTGTGCTTCTTCTGTAAGCAACTGAACTGCAGCATCAATATCGTCTTGACCTGTGAGGAATACGAGAATATCTCCCATAGGTTCCTATAGAAAATTATGATTAAACAGATCAAGAGCTCAAGTTAAGTAGAGGCCAACACCATTCATGAAGGGGGAAATGAAACGTTCTCACCTCCTTCGACAGCTCATCCTTCCACTCTTTTAATGTTCAAAAGTTAAATGGTCACATGGATAGTAGAGAAGTGAATATTACATAACCAATTACAAGTTATAAAAGTTATGTGTGAGAAAAGTCTTCTACTCTGAAGTTACCATTCTTTATAAGATCAATATTTATTATTTGTGAGTATATACACAAGTAACACAACAATTTCTCTATGGTAAGCCGAAAAAATCATAAGCTCAGAAAGTCTCCCAGTCCACACTTCATTTTTAAATATTGACCCACACCCGCAAATTCATCTGGATACAGATTCACATACCTTATCATGAATAGACAGTACTGTCGAAACCACAGCTCGAAGATAATCTGGAACAGGTGCCTCAACATAAAAAATTTGTACATTGAATCCTCTTCCCTAAAATAAATAAATAAAAATTACAATAATAAAAAGAAATCAGTTATGAAGGCTATGTTATTTGCGAAAACCAAAAGATAAAGTACAGAATATCAGATGCATATAAGGACTCCCTTCTATGATCAGATCATCACAATTGATTACCTCTACAGACAAAATAGCGGGCTCTTTCTTTGGTATATCATCTGGTCCTCGATGCCTTCTAATTTTGATCAAATCAACAGTGCACAAGTCAATAAATTAAGAGCAGAAACTGTCATATGGCTATTTCAAATTCAACAATACACACACACACACACATTAATAATACTTTACATTTCGTTTTTCAACATGAAATAAATACTACAAAATCCTAGGTCATGTAAGAACTTCGAGTTATTAATTCTCAATTAATTAACATTCATATTAATCTAGACTCAATGAATCTTGATTTCATGAATCTAGAATTATAATGGAAGAATTTATTTCTATTCATGTATCTAGAAATTTTAATAGCAGACTGTTTGGAAGTGATTTTTTCCCCCAAAAAAATTGATTTTTTGGCCGTTATTTCACTATTCAGCAGTCATATTTGATTTCTTCTCTCACGGGTGGACCCCACTTTTCTCCTAACGGTCAAAAAATCAATTCTCAAAATCACTCCCAAACAGGCTCTAGGTGTTTAAATTCATATATTAAAAATTAATTCTAATGTACCAAATGTAATATAAAAAGGTTGCTCATTTGTTGTATTTCATCATCACAAAAAATTTAAATCTAGGAAGTTGAGTATTGAGAGTACAACTTTCTTCTCTTAAGTTTCTATCCTAAAATTTTTTTTTTTTCATATTCTGTTTATGCAGCAGCAAATCGAAATCAAGGTTTATCATATCAAATATTACTCGTATAGCACTTATAAAGTATTTCAGAATAATGTGCAATGTACATTCAACTCAAAATAATAAATACAAAGCAAAAGAAACAAAATTCTCAATAACATCTCAAGAATGATTGCTTGGGATTTTAGATTGCGATAATTACAATATGGCAAGGCAAAACAAATAAAAAAAAAACCAAAATCTAGGATAATCAACTTTTTGAGTAAGATATGATACAACCCTTGTCTGCAAAGGCTAGCCAAATCTATATCGTTTACGTTATTTAACTATGTTAGGTAAGACTCTTGTTTTATGTCAAAATTTCACAATTCCTAGGTGCGGAAGCCAAGTCTATAATGTTTAAATTGACTACTAGAGACTAGTGTAAGCAAAGAAGTCCACCCAACAGGCAGATAAATCATGATTAAATAAAAAATAAGAACCAACATTTGATATTCTTCAAGGACGAGAACAATAAGATAAATATAATAGATAGGGATATATATAGATGTATGTATGTATACGTATGTATGTATAATAGTAATTGGCAACCAAAAGAAGCAAATTTTAATGAATTTTGAGAAGAAACCTGGTACTAAAAAAAGCAGCCATTGCTTTTGCTTCAATTGTCGCTGATGAGATGATGAGACGTAGCTCAGGCCGGCGACGTTGAATCTGAACCGAAATAATTAACTCTAGCTACAAAATAGTATCGAAAAGCATAAAAAAACAAAGCTCAAGTTTACAAGGTATTAGAGTACCTTTTTCAGGAGACCTAATAATATGTCTGTTGAAAGAGACCTCTCGTGAGCTTCATCTACCATGATGACACTGTAAGGTCAAAAATTACATATTCAGTCATAACCACAAAAAGTTATAAACAAAACCAAATCTGATAATATGGTAGGATTGGGTACAAGTAATGTTGTCAATTGTCAGCATGACTTTCTTGTCTTTTGCTAGATAAGAACAATAAACACATGCATACCTGAAACAGGTTCATCAATTTGACAATTTATGCTAATCAATTCGAAATTTGACGGAAGATGAACTAACAAATAAGTGGTTTAAAGAAGAACTCAAGGACATGTGGTGATAGCTTAACAATGTTCCTCGTAGAAACACACTCTTTGATAAGCATAAGCCTACCTATACTTGCTCAAAAGTGGATCATCCATCATTTCTCTCAGCAGCACTCCATCCGTCAGAAATTTTACCCTTGTTAAGTCCTGTTCTGCCAAAAAATGGAAGTCTCTCCATTATTGCATGTCCATAAAAACATACAGCACTAACTTCATGGCTAGAAAATAATCAATGAAAATGAAATACAATGCCTTACAAGTAAAATTTTAAAACGCCATCATTTATTACAATGGCTTACCACGCATATATTAGAAACATAAGTGATACTCACATTATTGGTGACATCTTCAAATCTAATTGTATAACCAACTTCCTCGCCAAGCTTGACACCCATCTCTTCAGCAACTCTCGAAGCAACTGCCTGAATGCCGAACAAACTCGAGCTTGAGATATCATGTCTAATATTTGTTAAATGACCTAGGTACATACTACTACTTAAACTAATGTAGAGTCATCAGTCTATTCCAATGCGCGTAACCACAGGGTGAATGTTACATGACAATGCAGATTTCCATGACAGATAATCATAACATGATAAGACAGTCATGAATAGGGAATCAGTGAGTCAATGACAATAATTTCTATGATGTTTCATTCAGAACTAAAGTGGACAATGAATTGGAGCTTGTCTGCAAGCAAATAGAGAAGTCAAGGCTCAAGAGTCGATAAAATACAGCAGAAATTAAACCTTAAACCGAGATTCACAAATATTAGAAACATTTGGTATTGGTTCACTTAATGATTTGAGTCCATCATTAAAGAATAATGCAGTATTCTAACGACAGTCCTCCCTATGTAGCACTAAGAGTATTCAGTTATTCCAAAACAAAAGCCCATGCAGTGAACATATTCTAATTATACATAAACAGCAAGTTAACAACTCATCAGCATAACAATAAAAAATATAATAATAATACCAAAAAATAATTTAAAAAAAATTCATTTCAAACATAAAAAATTCACTAGCGTAAAAACTCAAACCGCTGGCATTTGTCTTAATCAATTAAACTAATATACATGTTCTAAGTCGGCCAAATTACTGAACAAGAGATAATTTTTTATTGCAAAGCAGACAACCTTAGATTTCCTTAACGAAAACTTTATCCATCTGAAACAAAATATAAGTGCCAATGGGTATCAACACAATCTCTGCAAAGAGTACCTGAACCGCTAATCTTCTTGGTTGTGTGCACGCTATCAAGCGGCCACCTTCGGCCCATCCAGCTTCTTTGAGATACTGCACACCCAATTTCATCAAATACAACAACAACTTTAACTAAAATAATTCACTTTCGATGCAAACCTCACAGTTGCATTTATACCCAGCACAATTTGAACAAAAGATAAATTACAGATATGCATATATAGATAAAATCAGGAGTTTCAAAAGGGGACCTGTGGAATCTGTGTGGTCTTGCCACTGCCCGTTTCACCAACTACGATGGTGGTGGCATGGGTTTCGACTAAATATAGAATGGCAGTTCTGTATTTATACACGGGAAGTCTCTGCCTCTGCTTCTCTAAGCTCGCAAACCCATACCTGAAATTTCGTGCAGTCAACAAACAAGAAAGCTTCGTGAAAAGTACAAAGGAAAAAAGAAAAAATTTACCCGGAAGAGGAGGATGCGGAGGCAGTGTAGAATAAAACGCCGCCTTCTTCGTCGTCGACGATACGGGGCTTTTCTGTCCCTGGCTTCCAAAATCTTGACATTCTTAAATTTATCTTCGTAGACGCAGTGGAGTATGAAGAAGCGGAGAAGTTTTCGTACCAAATCAAACCCAAGCACACTGATTATTCTTTTGGCCAGAAGTAGTATTGCACTCCGTTGAGCATCTAAACTGAGTCGGCTCAACTCAACCTTTACTCAGTCTCACCAGGTTTTAGTTTTGAAAAATGTATTATGAAATAGTAGATTAGTGAAAAATGTATCCCTATTATATAAAAAAGGGGAATGTGAGGGCACTGTAAAAAGTAACAATGTTTTGATTCATTGTTACTGTAACATTTTTTTTTTGTTTTTTTTTTCAATTTAGGGGCCAAAAACGACACCGTTTGCTTGATATATATTTTATTTTACTGTACACTACCTTCAAATTTACTGCAATACGCAATTTTCATTCCTCCACATTCCAATATAGATATATATAGTAGGGATATAAGAAAAATATCACTTTTATATTTAAATATATATATAGATAATATGCGACATAAATTTTTTTTACAACATATTACTTTTAAGTAAAAAATTTGAAAAGAAAAGAATTAAAGAGAATTATAAATTGAAAAAAAAAATCATAACTAAAACTACACAAAAAAAAAAAAAAAAAAAATCCCCATGCACGGAGACAGTGGCTCTGTGCACAGAGAAGGAGAAAAAAATAAAATAAAAATGAGAAGGGCCACCGTTCACAGAGAGAAATAAAAGTTTTTTTTTTTACTAATGTTTTTTTATTCTTTTTCAAACTCATTACGGGATATCAAACGAAATCGAAATATTACATTCTTAATTTTGTTTTGAAGTGCTCGCAGCATAGTATTGCACGTCGTCAACGGTGCGTGAAACGCTCAATCATGGCAAATGTTATGGGACGTCAAAATAGGCATTTTCAAACTATATTTCGAAATTTTCGATAACAAGATAACTTTAAAAATTTATCGACGATTGTACGATAGTCGAATCAATAAATGTTTTACATTCTTTCGAAATTCATTTTGAGAACTATATCGTAGAGACTTCGAATGATCTAAATAGATATCAAAAATAGTGAAACAGACATTAAACGTATGTATTAAAAAATACGTATAAGTCGTTTTTTCTTAAAAAAATCAATTATTTTATTACTATTTCGAAATTTTCGATAACAAACTAACTTTAAAAATTCGTCGACGATTGTACGATAATCGAATCGATAAATATTTTACATTCTCTTGAAACTCATTTTGAGAACTATATCGTAGAGATATCAGATGATCTAAATAAATATCGAAAATAGTTAAACGGAGATTAAATGTATGTGTTAAAAATGCGTATACGTCGTTTTTTTTAAAAAAATCAATTATTTTATTACTATTTAGTCTTTTTTCGCAACAATTTTCTCAATACACCATTTTGCTCAAAAAAATTATGTGGTATGACAAAAAAAATTTCTCCATACACGGAGTGAATATGTTTTTTTCATCATTTTATATATTGAATTATTACTAGAAAATTAAATTTTATCTCAAACTATTAAAAAATACTGATTAATGATAAAAAAAATTTGAAGAAAAAAATTAAAAAGAATTCTAGATTGAAAAAAAAAACTATTATTTATAACATAAAACTGCACAAAAAAAAAATTTCTCAAATCTAAGTTTTTGTTTGGAATTATTACAAGAAAAGAATTATAAATTGAAAAAAAAATTATAATGTGAACAACAAAAATTAAAATTCTTTTTAATTCTTTTTTCTTTAAATTTTTTTACTTAAAAGTATCTTTTTGTAAAATATTTTTTATTTTTTTTAATATAAAAGTAATTTTTTTCTTATATCCCTATTATATATATCTATATAATAGTGGTTGAGCATAGAGTGGTGGGAGGTATGGAAATTACGTGTTACAGCAGTTTCTTACAGTATAATAAAATATTTTAAAGTAAATTTTTTTTTATATATTTTATTGCTATAAAATTAAATATTATCTGAAATTATTAAAAAATAAAAATACTAATAATATAAAATAGAAAATATTTCTAAGAGGTAAAAAGTTACTTGTGAGTAAAAAAATTAAAGAGAAAGAAATTAAAAAAGAATTTTAAGTTGAAAAGAAAAATTATTTATAATGCAAATCAAAACTAAGTTTCTGTTTGGAATTATTAAGAGAAAAAAATTATAATATAAACAACACAAATATTTTAAAAAAATAAAAAATAGTTAAACGGATATTAAACTTATGTGTTAAAAAATACGCATTAGTCGTTTTTTTTTTAAAAATCAATTATTTTATTACTATTTCGAAATTTTCGATAACAAGCTAATTTTAAAAATTCGTCGACGATTGTACGAATCATAAATGTTTTACATTTTCTCGAAACTCATTTTGAGAACTATATTGTAGAGACATCTAATGATGTAAATAAATATCGAAAATAGTTAAATGGACATTAAATGTATGTGTTAAAAAATGCGTATAAGTCATTTTTCTTAAAAAAATCAATTTTTTTGTTACTATTTATTATTTTTTCGCAACATTTTTCTCAATACATCATTTTGCTCCAAAAAAATTATGCAGTATGGCGTAAATTTTTTTTCAATTATTTAAAATTTCATTTTTTTTCAAGTGGGGAACAAAAATAATGCGTTCCTCCGTGCATAAAGTGCATGGATTTATTTTTTTACATTAGTATAGATATAGAAAACTAAAAAAAAAAAAAAAAAACTATATCATCGTAGTTGGATATATCTAATAATTTCAGACAATATTTAATTTTATAGTAATATTTTTAGTAATATTGAATTTTTTAAATTAAATTTATCTAAATATTACTTTAAATTAAATATTAACTCAAAGTTTTAAGTATATTTCTTTACATAGTAAAAAGTTTGCTTCAAGTTGTAAAAATATATATATATATATTATTGTAGTTAATTTATATAGTATAAAGAGGTATTAGCTTTTATTTAAAAAAAAGAGGACTCCGTACACAGAGGCCCAAAGACTCCGTGCACGGAGACATGAAGTCTTCCGTGACCACACAGAGAGAAATGAAATTATTATTATTATTATTATTTTTACTTATATTTTTGTGTTCATTTTCAGGTTCATTATGGGATAACAAACGAAGTCGAAATATTACATTCTTAATATCGTTTTGAAATACTCGCGGCATAGTATTACAAGTCGTTAATGGTGCGTGAAACGGTCAATCATAGCAAATGTTATGGGATGTCAAAATAGGCATTTTCAAACTATATTTCGAAATTTTCGATAACAAGCTAATTTTAAAAATTCATCGATGATTGTACGATAGTCGAATCGATAAATTTTTACATTCTCTCGAAACTCATTTTGAGAACTATATTGTAAAGATATCGAATGATCTAAATAGATATCAAAAATAGTTAAACGGACATTAAACGTATGTGTTAAAAAATACGCATAAGTCGTTTTTCTTTAAAAAATCAATTATTTTATTACTATTTTGAAATTTTCGAAAACAAGTTAACTTTAAAAATTCATCGACGAATGCACGATAGTCGAATTGATAAATGTTTTACATTCTCTCGAAACTCATTTTGAGAACTATATCGTAGAGACATCGAATGATCTAAATAAATATCGAAAATAGTTAAATGAAGATTAAACGTATGTGTTAACAAATGCGTTTTCTTTTTTAAAAAAATTCAATTATTTTTTTTCTTTTTAATTCTTTTCTCTTCCAAATAAAACTTAATTTTTCAAAAATCACTTTTAGTAAAAAAAAATAATTTAAAAATAAACATATTAACAAAAAAATATTTCTAATATATGTAAAAATTACTTATATAATTAAAAAAATTCATTTAAAATTATTAAGAAGTAAAAAATAAAATAAAATTATGAAAATTAAATGAAGAATATATAAATATTATTTAATTAAAATTGAAAATTTTACTTTATAAATAATTGGTTTTTTTATCAATTTATTTAAATTTCTTTTTAATTCTTTTCTCTTTCAAATAAAATTTAATAAAAAATTTTTTTTTAATTTTTTTACCCTACCAACCTTGGAGTGACTGTTGTATTATTTTTCGACGAATAGGTATGCTGTTAGGGTTCTAATTCTTACACCAACAAGGGAGTTGGCCATCCAATAAGTGCCACTTCAAGTTATTTTATGTGCGAACCTGAGTTTGTTATTTAAATGTTTGTGTATGTGGATATTCTCTTTCAATTTACAACTGCATGGATTATTTTTGAATTACAAGTATAGCCTCTCGAATCGAAGTTGCTAAAGAAAAGCATTTTGTAAAATTCAATTTACAACTTTTTTGTAATATCAGATAAAAAAAATATTTTCATCTACATTAAACAAAAAAAATACAATAAATAATTAAAAATAAATTATCGTTGACATATATACAATTACAACATTCATTATACTTATTTATAAGAATAAGAATAAATTATCGCGACATAAAATATACAATCGACCAAAAAATGAGAATCAAACAAACATTTCCTATTTCCAAATACTTTTTGTACAATCTATAAATTTTACGCTAATAAAAACAAAATAAATACAAAATTCGTGCAACGCACGAGACGCAGCCTAGTAGTCAAAAAAGAAGGATTTTTTTTTTTTCGGCCATGTTTGATAGGCTTATATTTTCCATCTTTCATGTTTTTGATGGTACAAATTTGGCATGAAATTCATTTTCCATCTTTTGTTGCCACATAAGCAAATTCCACCAAAAGACAGATTTCAATTCTTGAAATTCCACCTTTTGACGTTTTTTTTTGTTTTTTTTTAATTTTGCAATTAAAACAAATTTTAAAAATTATTATAAAAAAATTATATCTCTTTAATTGACAATTTTTATATAAATTAAAGTCAAACAAACATCAAAAGATTAATGACTTTCTTTAAATTTTTTTTTTTTTTTTTTGCTATGGAAACAAATTTCATTCCCAATACTAGTAAAATCTATCCCTTTAATTGACAATTTTTATATAAATTAAAGTCAAACAAACATCAAAAGATTAATGACTTTCTTTAAATTTTTTTTTTTTTTTTGCTATGGAAACAAATTTCATTCCCAATACTAGTAAAATCTATCCCTTTAATTGACAATTTTTATATAAATTAAAGTCAAACAAACATCAAAAGATTAATGACTTTCTTTAAATTTTTTTTTTTTTTTTGCTATGGAAA